AAAGAGAGAGAGAGAGAGAGAGAGAGAGAGACATTTAAAACATGTTTGTTTCAAAAATAAAACCGACTCCCAGGTAGTTCCTTGTGGCAAACGGCAAACAGGGACCAATGCCCACAGTTCAGTAGTGCCAGAAACTGAGGCCGTGTTTCAGCAATATCAGAGTGGTTGGTGGGGTGGGGAGCAGGCATCGGATTCATTAGCTGACGAATCACTAATAAGATCCAGGATAGCCACAGTGGAAATATATTCAGATAAAGGCTGGGAGCAGCTTATGTACTGAGCCCGTTCCAGGTTGAATCCACATTCCCAGCTATTTCACAAACACAGATGCTGGACTTACCTCCACTCTGTAAGGGAATGAAAGCAAAGAGTGATAATTCTGCTTTTTTTACACGGAGAAGCACCCCGACTTTGCTTTTGCTTTGTTCTTTTATTTTAAAATATCTATCTATATATATTTATTCTCAGGTTTCTGGAGAAGGCTGCAGCAGCGTCCAAATTGCGGAGTCTTTCTCTCCTCCTTCTACAGGTTGGTGCAAAAAAATAAAAATAAAAAAATTCCCCCCCTCCCCGCCGCCCCCAGCTATGCAGAGTCCCAAACAAGGTTATCCAGACTTCCTAAACCGATTCCCAGAAGTTGCATCTTGAATCCTCAACGGGAGCCGGGCCCTGCAGATATTTCACTCTCCACCCAACCAATCGGAAAGCATGGAAAGAGCTTGCTAAATGCAGATGAGGACATGGGGGTGGGTGGCTTTTGGGGTGAGGAGGGTGGGGAAAAGGCGCCGGGCAAGGTTTTTTAAAGCCTCACTAAAAGACTTTGCTCTTTGTTTTTATTCCTTGTCAATTCCCACTCCCCCAGGATCAGCCACGAGGGAAACCTCACACTCCTATCTATGCCTTCCTTTCCTTCTTGCCATAAAGGGTTTTATTACAGTTGTCGCTTGATCATTAAGAGCATTTGGATTCCAGACCTCCAGGCTTGATTCATTCCCAGCTGTTCGCTTTCTCTCTCTCTCTCTAAATCCAGAGAAGGTTAAAAATAATATGCACGAGCCTTTCAGTTCCTTCCTTCCTTCCTTCCTTCCTTCCTTCCTTCCTTCCTTCCTTCCTTCCTTCGATCATCAGGCGCGTCCCACCTTAGCGTAACTCAGTAAATCTGTATTATTCTTCCTTCCTTCCTTCCTTCCTTCCTTCCTTCCTTCCTTCCTTCCTTCCAGCATCAGCTCCTTCCTTCCTTCTATTCATCATCAGCTCCTTCCTTCCTTCCTTCCTTCCTTCCATATGATAGTGGTAACAAATAAGCAAGGCAACTAACAGAGAGAGAGAGAGAGATTCTGGGATGTTTGCCTTACAGGTCGACTTTTGTTGTTACTGCAAGACGAGACTCTCAGCCCTTTCTTCCAGATGGTTAAAAAAATTATTTTTGGATCAAGTCTTTTTAAAAAAAAAAACATTAAGCACTGAATCACTAGATTCGCCTACGTAGGTGGGCCTGGCTGTGCTCTCAGGTAGCCTGAAATGATCTGTTTGAGGCGACACCAGCTCGGGATTCGGGAAGGCGAGGGCCAGCGTATGAAGGGACCCGCCAGCCTTCTGAAAGGACTGCCATTTTGGATCTGCCTCAGGCAAAGTGGCTCAGCGGTGGCGGAAGAGCAGAGCGGCTGGCTGCCGCTGGCTAGTGGCGTCTGGGAACTGTAGTCCCCCAGAAAATAAACCTTTCCAAGTTCTGGTGGAGAGGCAGCCTTGGCCACCACCAGTTCTTGGAAGGCAGGGTATAAAAATGTTTTGTTTTTTTTAAAAAACTGGACATAATGTGTCAGTAATTAGCTTCTCGTGTGGAGTGAAATAGCCCTGTCAGCAGATCCAGGAAAAGGTGATTTAGAGTCCGTTAACCCCTGGTGAAATTTCTCATTGCCACAGCAAAGAGAGATTTCTTTTTCTACCATTAAGGTCTCGGTGCTAAAAAGAAGCCTTAAACCTCTGGGCAAAACGAATAGCTTTCCCCAACATGGAGCAAAGCACATGGCAAAGGCTAAAGATGAGGCTGGTGGATCAGAGAGACTGAAATAACCCATCCGCTGCTTCTCCAAAGTCCACGCGACGCAACACCAGCCGCCACTGCTTTGCCCAATTTGAGCAGGAACCCCTTGCACAAATGCGAGAACTCTGTCCAAGGCGGATGGAAAAGCTCTCACCCTCTTACGGGGAATGGGAAGAATGCTGTAGTTTCCGAAACCAGTGCGGGGTTTATTTTGTGAGTAAATAGAACAGATCTTTTGAGTTGCCTTCTCTTCTTCTCCGACTTCCTCAGCCCCTTTTGTAGACGGAGGCCTTGAGTCCCCATCTCCTGCTGGCTGCTTGCAGCCGTGGCCTTTCCAGAACTGCCTGTCCTGCGAAGAGATCCCGAGTTATTTGGAACAACTGGTGGAATCCTGCATGCAGACCGAGCCACCTCTGGATGCCTCATTGGGTGTCGTCCCGGGCAGCTTATCTTGTTCGCCTGAGAGCTATCAACCTGGCCTCGTTTGCATCAACCAAAGCCTGGTAACTGAACTCTACCTTTTATGGACCCAGTTAGACTTGCTTGGAAATACCCCCCCGTTCCCCTGCAGGCATGACTCCGGCGAGGGTGAGGTTGGGAAGGGTTGTCCGATAAAGATTTTGCCGAAGGCTGGCGTGAAATAAAGTGTGGAGTGCCCGTACGGAAAGGAGAAGCGCACTGAAATTCTGTAGAAAAGCTTGAACAGGAGATGTTAATTTGTTCGAGTTCAATTCATTTTTTATCTTGACAGTTAAGACTGCATTTTTGGTGTGGGGGGGGACTGGGGCTTAGCGGTAGACCGTCTGCTTTGTATACCAAACAATTCCTGATTTCAGTTCCTGGTAACGCTGCCAAGGAAGGGCAAGAAAAAGAATTCTGTTCATAACTCCAGTCCCCGGTGGCCAGTCCGTTCGTAGGTGGACAACTCCTGGTTCTGTTTCCCACTTCGGACCATACTCATATCTCCCAGCAAACCCCAAAAAACTGGGGCAGAAGGGTTGATGACTTCTGAAAAAGGAGGGAAGGGTGGCTTGTTATAGAGCAGAATCAGGGTCCCGTAAGCTTCTGGAGGCACTGTTTTAACCCCAAATGGGAGGGGAGGGGCCTCTCTGGGTCATGAAAAGGAGCCTGGGGTCACCAGGGGGTCCATGTGCCCATCCTGCCCGCCCTTGGCATGGATTCTCCTGAGCAAGGTGGCCCAGCGGCCTGACATTCAGAACAAGGAAGCGTGCTATCTTCCGATCTCCCTCTGCTCGGTGGTGTGGGACGTTATTTGCATGCCTGCTGAAGGGCTTGGTTTAATCTCCTTCTCCTCCACCAGGCAGGGCCAGGTAAGGGCTTGGTGAAGCCTTGGAGGCCTGCCAGCATCCGCTTTGGATTTGGGAGGATCTTGGGCGAGACATTCCTCGGGCCTGCCCCCCCTCCCCTCCCCTGCTCCCGTTAGCATTCGCTGCCAGCTGCGACTCCTCTTCCACCTTGCAACCAGCTGGGCATTCGCCCAGAGGAGATCCACTGAGCAAACAAGCCACAGCATCTCCTCCTCCTCCTCCTTTTGTACGTTATCTACTTCTGGGCCAGCATCAGGGCTGAACGAGAGGAGGCAACAGCCTCGCCATCTAAGGCAGAGCTGTCCGAATCATGGAAAGCTCGTCGGGAAGGGCACCGGCTTTCCTTACCTCCCAGATAGGGCACATTAATTTCCCCTGCTTTGTGATTGGTCGCTGGGAGGTAAACTCGGGCATCCTTAGCAAGTCACTTGCATCCTTAGCAACTGAGCTTGCTCAGATCCTGAGCAAGCTGAGAATTGCCTGCTATCCATTGCTCAGCCCAAAGCCGTTCTCACACCCGGTTGACTCAGAAGGTGAACCACCAAGCAGGAGAAGAGAAAGATGAGGAGGAACAAACCCGGTGGGATCGTGTTGACCTTCAAGGCCAGCCTCTGTCCGGTGGATAGAACTGGACCACTGTTGGACAAGCCCTCACTTCTTCCCCACCCCTCGCCCCCGCCCTGTTGCAAAGGAAAAAATAATATAAAATCAAATTGAGAAAAGCTACCCCCACCTTGCCATCTTTAGAAGGCAATGGGCGTCTTTTTTTTTCTTTTTCCACCCCCTGTGACAGGGACACAATAGACACCAAACAGCCCCCTCTCCTTGGAGGATCAAAGGAAGTGAGAAAAAAAGATGAAAACAAGTTTTAAACTTCCAGGCAGCGGGTTAATGATCAGCTTGCTGCTCTGGAGCTTGGAATTTACTTCCTGTTGTTTGAAAAAAAAAAATACCATGCCAGGGCTGATCCAGGTTCAGAGGTATCTGAATTCGCTGCTGATCAAATATAACTCAGGATGAAGCTGATTTCATTACCTTCTACTTCCTGGGGTCAAGACAGGCTTTGTTAAGAGATTCAATTCCTCTGTTAATTTTTGGTTCCTAGGTTTCTCAGCCCTGCCAACTGCTTTCGTTTGGCGTTCTGTCATCGGGAGATCAGGACAGGCTCTGCCGGCTGGTAGATTGCGCAAGCGCAGCAGCCTTGAAAGATTGGAAACATTTGGAGGGCCAATGTTTTCTCACCCTCTAATTGCGAAGCTCGCACCTCGTTTCGTTCAGCCCTAAGAGCCTTCCTTTTCATCTCTCCTCCTTCTCCTTTCAGGGACCTGGGTCCCCGGACTCTTCGGATCCTTCCGGCTCCTTCGATTGCAGCTACTCCTCACCGCAGCCACCTCCATATGTGCCCACCAGTTACAGCACCCCTTCGCCTCTGGAGGCCAAGAGCTGCATGTATCCATCATCAGAGGGAATCCCCTTCCAGTCGCATGACACGCAGTATCACGCCTCTCCTTGCTGCTGCACGTCTTGCGGCTCCCAGCACTTGGACAGTTTCAGAGTCCCCGAATATTTCCCTTATGCAAACACGGACTGCAGGGAATACCCTCCGTCTGTCTCTGTGGGAGATGATTGCTTCGGAAGAGACAGGCACTGGGACACCTGTTATAGTTAAAAGGGGAAAGCATCTTCCTGCTGCTGTAAATGCAGGGGATCCATAGACTGTGATGGCCAAATTTTGTTGGTTCCAAAGTCCACTAAATGCTGAGTAGGTTTTAAAAAAATCATCACTTTAGAGTGTGCAAGCTTTTGGTTTTCATAGCATTCTTCATTAGGCTAACTGGGAAAGCAGTGACCTTTCCTTTTCATGTGCTATTAAAAAGGGGGGGGCATCAGGGAACCCAAATTCTGTGCCAAGCAAAGCTGAACCCTGTAACCTGTCTAATGAAGGCAAACATTTATACTTCCTATTTTGTATAACTTATTTTGCCTTGACCGGTTGTGGGAAAAAGCAAAAGGCTATGCCGGCCCCCCCGAATCCCCACATCCTCATAACTGGGCCCTTTTTATTGAGCAGTTGGTCTGACTTTGCAGCCTCATCAAGTAGGGCTCCTATGTTTGCAGGTATATCGCTAAAATCATAAAAGCTAGAAATGATCACGTGGAAAATGAAAATAAAGCTGAGATTTCCACACAGCAACACAGCGTATTCAGCAAGGACCCTGTGCTTCCTGAATTTCGTGATATATGTATAAGCCATAAGAGAGAGAGAGAGAGCATGCGCACATTCTATTATGCTTGCTTGTCGGGCAACATAGCATATATTCTGGAACACAATGTTTTTCACACTCTTCAGGATGAAGGATTCTGTGAAATCCGAAGGCTTGCATACTGCTAAAAAAATTTTTTAGAACTTTTGCCTGCTTTGTATTTCCCATAAATGCAGCATTTATTCATTTGTCTTTTGATCAGAGAAGTCAGCATATCATCTCTGCAAACCTATAACCGCCTTACCTGATCTTAGCCTCCTTCCAGTGTCGCTTTCTCTGGGGTTCATTCAGGGGCACCAACAATGTTTATAATGTCTACATTGCTGTAATCCTTCTGTCATCTTGCATTAAGAGTCCATTAAACAACTGCCAGCCAGCGTGAAGAGGTGTATGTTTTTCTTTTTTTTAAAAAAAAATCCTCACGGCTCAATCACTGTTCGGTTGAGTCAGTGAGGAACATGGGTTCGAATCCTCTCTCCACCATGAAACTCACTAGGAGACCAAGGTCACACTTCCTTGGCTGGCCCTACCTTGTAGGGTTGTTGTTCGGAGGATAGAGTGGGAAGGAAGCCCGCCCACACATCTTGAGCTCAGTGGAAGGAAAGCAGGAAACAAACAAACACATAAAAACTACATAAACAAGTGTGTTCTGCTCACACTTGACTGAGCCCAAGCAAAGTATTTCCAGAGGAGGAGTGTTTGGTGCCCTGACACTCTTATACCCATCGTCCTCCTCTCCCATATTTCAGCCTTCCTGCTTGGGAGAACGGCCCTCAACGTTGGTGCATCATGCTGCTCTCATGGATCCTGGATGATGGGCTTACCTGGTCCAGGTATTAAGAACAAAAGGATGTAAGCAGAAGAGCCCTGTGCTGGATCAGGCCAAGGGCCCCTCTCATCCAGCTCCCTGTGCATCTCACAGTGGCCCCACCAGTTGCCTCAGGGAGCCCACGAGACCACGAGATATAACTGTCTCCTGATCCCACAACCCTGCATCTGGCATTTTGAGGTACCTTCCTTCGAAGCCTGGAGGTTATACATCCCCATCATGGCTCGTCCCCTGCAATGGACTTTGCCTCCAGAAATCTGTCCAATCCCCTTTTTAAAGGCATTTAGGCCAAATGCCATCACCACATTCTGTGGCAAGGAGTTCCACAGACGAACAACATGCTGGGTCAAGAAATATTGTCTTTTGTCTGTTCTCCCTCTCCCGACACTCAGTTGGAGTGGATGTCCCCTGGGTTCTGGTCTTGCGTGAGAGGGGAAAGCGCTTCCCTCTATCCCCTTGATCCACCCGCTGCATCATTTGATACATCTCCATCATGCCCTCCGTCAGGCGCCTTTTCTCTAGACTCAAGAGCCCCCCAAGGGCTGTAGCCTTTCCTCACCCAGCCCAGTCCTCCTTTGAGTCTCTCTCTTCTGAATGCATGCGGCAGACCAAGAAGGCGCGTGAGCTTCCAGGATGTGGCAGGACTGTATCTCCCATTGTCCCCAGCCATCCTAGCTATTGGTGTGCGATGACGGGAGGTGTAGTCCAGCACTATCTGGAGGGCCACGCTTCCCCTGTTCTCCGGTGTAAATGCTTGGTCATGGAAAAATGGCAAGACGGTTAAAGACTTTAGCATAATTCATTAGCAGAGCTCGGGAGATGCCTCCTCCCCCACAAGGAAAGCTAATACAGGGAGTTGTAGTCCAAAAACAGTAACTTTTCTAAGTTTTGTTTAATGCTTTTACATTGGGACCAACATCTCACAAGAAGGCCTTTTCTGGGTCTCATCCCTGAGTTCTGCTGCACAAATATTGGAATGTTTTTCAAAGCCCTTGCTCTGTAACTTGCTGCAAGAACAGCAAAGAGACCAGTGGCATCTGGAAGACGGTGCAGTGGAGAGACCCCTGCATCTCTTGTGCGTGGCCGTGGTGGCGTTTGAGGGCTGCCTCATTGGACACATGAGCCATGTCTGAGTTGATAGGTGACTGTCCAGAGCAGATTCTGTGATGCAACACAAGGACTGCGGTCATCCACTAGCTTCCTACTCGTGAGGAAGCCTCCGGTGTGGCCTGTTAAAAGCAGAGGTTCTAAATTGCTTTCCCCACTTTTCCCCCCAAACCAAAAAGAAACGGGTAGCTCCCAGGAGTGAGGGGCAAAACACCCAAAGATCCATAGGATCTTAATAATAAGATAATAAAAACCCTACCTTAAATGCACACAAGGTTTAGAGATCTACAGAACATTTCATCTGCCAAGATGTTTCAAAAAGCAGGCAGGGGAGGAGCTGAGCTTAGCGTCTACACTACAAAGTTACAACACTTTGGCACCATTTGTGAACATCTTCAAGAAAGCTGGGCTTTTTCACTTGGGGCAGGGTCTGGCCAAAGATTCTAAATTCATGGCGAAACTACAATTCCCAGAATTCCATGGGTTGGCGCCGTAACTTTCCAGGTGGTATCCACCCGCTATACATGAGTAGGGTAGACAGCCTTGTCCAAAGTGCGAGAGGAATGGGAAAAGCCATCCCTCCCTTTCAAAATGCAAAATCCCTTTGTAAACCCAGAAAATGTTTCCAATTTTTGGCACAGATCCCTCTCACAGTCTTGGGGCGGTTCATCATTTAAAGATGTGAAGGGAAGAATGCCGGTTTCCCAGATGTGTGCTAATGTCGTTGAGCCTTAACAGATGGAAAGCAGCTTCATCTTTATAAGCATTTTGTTTTCTTTCACGTGCAATTAAGCAACATCGTATAACCATTAACTCGCAGTAGACAGAGGGCAGGTTACTTCCAAACTTTCCTCCTCCCCAGACACCTGTTGGTTTCCTGGGCGTGTGAAGGAAAAAAGGCTCCATTCTCTCAGGATTCCACCAAACCATCTCAGCTCATTTCTGAACGCAAACTAAGCCTGCTCAGCCTCTGGCACGGCATTAATGGGGTGGCTGTACAAGCGGACGGTCCGAGGAAAATGTAGTACTTCAGGCGGCACATGGCCAAAGCATGAAACTCTAGCAACGGCCTCTGACTTGGAGACTAATATATTTACCGTATTTTTCCATGTATAAGACTATACTTTTGTCTAAAATCTTTAAACTAAAAACTGAGGGTCGTCTTATACACGGAAGTAAGCTGAAGAGAGAGAAAAAACAAGTGGAGGGGAAAGCAGGGATCAAAGCGATCCTGCAGTGCTTTGCTCCCTTTCCCCCTACACTTGCTAAGCCCTACTTAGATTTCTTAATTTTGGGTTAGAAAAGTGGGGGCGTCTTATACATGGGGGCATCTTATACACAGAAAAATACAGTATTTTAAGGGGAAAAATCCACACTCACATTTGGGAAAAAGCCGCTGTGCTTCTTCCCTGGGGTGGTGAAAATTTAGCCTCACTTCCCAAAAGAGGGTTTACACTCTACGTACAGGGGTTCTGTCAGTGTGACCGGACATAGTTGAAAAGGTAGGATTCATGAATCCAATTAATCAATTGATTGCGCTCATAAACCGTGCTTTTTCAACGATTTCCGGTTGAAATTAATTAATCTGCCCCCCCCGGAGTTCACAACAAGGCCACGGCCCCCTTGTTGACTACAATCCACACAGGTGGAGACTAGCACTAGCCTGACTCTCTAACCACTGTACCGTACTGTTGTACACCCCATGCGCACAATACAGTGTGTACACCCAGGAAAAGGAGAGAAGAAATGATACTGCATAGTCCTGCATACTCTGGACTATGTGCCCCGTGTGGTGAAGTGGATGGAGTGACGGACTAGTATCCAGGAGGCCTGGGTTCGAATCCTTGCTCGGCCATGGAAACTCACTGGGACTGTTAAAACTGCTCCCTAAATAACTCATTTACCTTGGAAGCCCTATCAGTATCCAGGAGGCCTGGGTTCGAATCCCTGCTCAGCCATGGAAACTCACTGGGACTGGTAAAACTGCTCCTTAAATAACTCATTTACCTTGGAAGCCCTATTAGGGTCACTCTGACTCCGTACCGACTCGATGGCACATAACTGACATCTCTGGACTGTGCCCCATCGACTGCCAAAGAATCTGGACCAGGTAAGGAGGCCCAGGTGTTAGTGAACCAGGGATTATTCAAATTTTTCCTGCTGCAAGAAAGGGGCAAGAAAAGGTTGCCTCTTCCTCGAGGGCTGCAGGCAGTTCGGCCACACGTTCCCGACCGGGCTGCGGAGATAAAAGTCCCATTTGCCAGCGATTCTGTCGACAGAGAGTTGGAGAATCTACGGCCCCGATCAGGAGACAGTGGCAGGCACCACCGTGGTAATGGATGAGGGATTGCTTCTGCCACGGCTTCGGGAAAAGATAAAGGAAGAATGTGGGTGTGCAACGGGGACAAGCGCTATCTGGGAAAGATAAATGCCTTTTGGCCCATTTTGCACTAGGAGAGGCATTGCTGACATTCATGTTCAACAGCACCTTGCGTGTGTGTGTGTG